TCCAGCGACATAGCCATTACGCCATTATGCTGGTCCCAGCCTCTCTGCTCTTCCTGCTATAAAGAAGAGTTTGTAGAAAAATGCGGATTATGGAGCTAGCCTTGGTGTGTTGGTTAAGTCAGCTGGAACCCACATGGTCACTGCATGGTGACCCTTTCCCAGAGGCTTGGGGAATGTGTGCGTGCATGGCCAGAGTCCCTGTTCTGGAGGGAGGGATGGAAGACAAGAGATTGTGGCATGACCATTCCCCATGGGAGAGTGCTTTCTCACTTTCTCTCGTGAGTGCACATGCCCTCTGACAAAATTAAAAAGCAAAACAAACAAACAAAAAATGGGCTCTATATTGGCAATGAAAAGAAACTGAGATATATGCTAGAGTAGCTGATGTTAGCACTCTGCTTCCAAGCTCTCCCAGCTTGTTGGCTGTAAGGAGGGCAAAAAAAAATCACCGCTTCTTGAGACTTTGCCTCCCTGACTTCTTACTGTTGCTCTGTGAGATATCTGCTTGGCAGGTTGGAGAATTAGGGGTCTTTGACATTCAGAATTCATCCCTTCAGTTGGCTTACTTTCCCTCCTAACACTTAAGTGAAAATTGGTTGCTGAGTGAAAGTCTGATGAAGGAAGAGAAAAGTAGATAGGGGAACGTCCAAGCAGAGTAAGAGGCTGGGGATAGCCCGTGTTGTTGCAGAGAGGAGCTGAATCAGTTTAGGCGCAAGTTAAACTGGGAGATGAGAACAGGTACATCTATTTAGAATCTAGAAAGAACAATCACTTCATCAAAACTGGTTTGTCTCTTGCTCCTAGAGCCTATATTTTAAGTAGAGCAGCTATTCTATCAATTATTTGTAAATTGAGCATGAAATAGGTTTTCTGGTCAAGCCAGGATCCTGTCTACCCTTGGAAACATTGCAGTATATGAGTAAACACATTTCTTGTAACAAACAGCCAACTTAGATATGGATTTTGTAAAACCACACCTAGTGGTTAAATTAGCGTTTGGGGATAACTAAACTATCTAATAGCTTGACACATTCAAATTTCAAATGAGCAAAATGAGTTTCTTGTGTTTAGTATGCACGTTTTTGTTGTAGTCAAGCAATAAATGTTGAAATGCATCTATGTAAAAAGCAAAAAGAAAAATAAAAAGCAAAAAGCACGTAATCAGTTCTAATAAGATTATATTTGACTGAAAGTAAAATAATCTATAATCTATTTATTATACAATAAAGCACTTAAGTGCTTTAGTATAAGGTAAGTGCTTTTTTTTTTTTTTTTTGTGGCGGTTTTTTTTTACGGG